CACTTGTGTTGGCAACGCTAACATCTTCGCCAGCACTGCAGCAGGCATTCAAGTACATTTGACAACGTTGCCGTGACAGCACCGGATCACCCATAGTAATCATCAAGTCTATTAACGTATTGATTTGGCTTAGAGAATCCTCCTGCGAGTGATCACGTACAGTGCGTACATTCAGTTCGACAGTTGACAAACGAGCGTTAACCCGCTGTAAGTAACAACCGATCTCTTCTCGTTCGGCTGAAAAGAAAATGTGTAACAGAATTTATCGTAAAACTTATCTAGCACGACTTACAATCGGTTAGATTTTGCATTGAATCGTTGCTTTTTATCAAATCAATGGACATAAGCAAGAAGTCACGTTTCTCCTGCAAGCCCAAAGCATCCTTCCGAAACTTTTCAACTCGGGCATCTAACTGGTCTAGAACGGTAACAAACCTAAAATATATAAGAGTATATGATGAAATAATCATTAAATTAAGAAACATATTTGTCTTGAGAAGAGAGTTTTTAATCTGAGTTACCTTTCATTTAAATTGAAAGGTCTTGTGTTGGCAACATGACGATAATGATCGTGTTGTGCGGTTTGCAGTCAAACAACCAAAAAAAGAACCGAAGATATAAAATAAAAGAAAAAAAAAGGGAATAAGTAATACTTCGTGTTTGAGTCTTTAATCTACGAACAGAAGAAACTGATGGAATTCTATTAAAAATTGTGTAAAATATCGGTTTACTAAAATAAGATTTTGGCATAAGAGCGTCGCACCTGTCCACCACTCTGCTATCGTCGACCTGGCAGTTAGTTGTCGAAGCGGTGATAGCGCTAAAATGGCGTGGTGAGCTTCCATCTTGTGGGCGCGAGGTAGAACTAGTAGTGGTAGCATCCATTGCCGATGAATCTGAATGCAAGCCCTGCAAATAATCAAAGTTCATCGACAATTCTGATTGATAGGTAGTGGATGGACTGTCCGAATACTCCTGAGGCGGTGGCACAGGAGAGGGATCAATTTCCATTGCTTCTTCTTCCTGTTGTAATATTTTGTGTTTTTTCGTGCCCCCTTGTCCGGACAACTTTGTTAATGCGTTGCTGGTACTTGATTTCCTTAGATTTTTTATTTATTTATTTTTTTCTCAACTTAATGCTAAGCGGAATGCTTTAATGTTCGTGAAATATTTTTATTTCATATATAACTTGTTTTTTAACTGCTCTCTTAAGCTCCAGTCAGTCTTAAGTGTTTAAGTGGTACCCTTATGTTTAGGAGCTGCTGCTGAAAATATATGCGTATTTTGATATATTATACATTTGCATTACCTATCAACACACATGCCAATGTCACTGTCTGAATATGAGATGGGAGCAACAGCGGTTGCATTACTAGAACTGCTTGTATCAGAATCATTGCTATTGACACTAAATATGGAATCCCAAAAACCAGTTAGATTTCTGGACATAGGGTAATTATTTTCACTATTATCGCCGTTGATTAAGCTATTTGATGTAGCCGTCGTTGGATTGTCATTGTTGCGCGGTATGTCGTCGTCACCGTTGAGACGTCGACGTTTTCTAAACATACCCAGGAAATTTTCTAACATTTATATAGGCAGGCAATTTTAAGGTACACTCTACTCCTCGTTTCAAATATTTGTCCCAAATTTTTTTTTAAATTTTTCACGAGAAAATTAAAAAATATAAGTACAACATTTATACTTTTGATAATATTACTCAGATAGTTTTCGGATAAGACATATGTCAATTCTTTTTTCTTAAAAAAGACATGTAAACAATTGTTCTAGAAACATTCACATTGCACTGCTTTGTATCTTTTTTTTTCATTCATTCACTTCCCCTCTATTTCGCCCTCCTTTTTCCAAGAAATAAACAATGTCTCACATGTGTGTCGAAAGGAGAAAGAACATTAGACGTCACATATTACCTTTTCTCTACGCCTTGCTGCCCGTTTTAAGTTTTTCATCCAGATCGAGATCGTATAATCACAACCGCTACTACTGCTACAACTACTGCTCTGCTACTCACTGACACCGAGAAGTCTGGAGATTTTTCTTTAATGATTTTCTTTTTTTTTGCTTTGCTTTAAAAATTTTAGTTGTATGTCACTAGAATTTTGTGTTTAAAATTTGCTCCAAAAATCTTTATACTTTTTCACTTGCGGTTGCTTTTGTTTCCCATTTAATAAAGGTGTCAATAAGTTCCTATTTATTGTTTGAAAGAAATTTAATAAATTTTAACTAAAGAAATGAGAACGATAAATACTGTTTGTCTTGCTATATGTGTATATACATGAGTTATGTTTTTTTCCGATGTCAATAGGTGATTTTTTTTTTCTTTTTTTTTTTTTCATTATATTATTTTCCGAAATTTCGCAACAGTATTGCCAGGCACTAAAACTAATGCGCTTACCTGCGGGTACAAAATATCTAAACAGTGGATAGACATTGTACGACTGTTGGCTGCGAGTGTTTAGTGTTTTTAAAACGAAGACAATATTTTATGCAGTGAGTAGGAAGAAAGGTCGGCAGTACTTTTTTGTTTTACTAGTTTAAGGTTGAATTTGTAATTTAGTTTTTTTGTCCTGTCGAAAGCTATTTAAAATTTGTATATAATTATATGGCATTGCATTTTCAGTTGGCTTCACTTTTTTAAAACAGACGAAACACAAACCTATATTTCTCATTTATGATTGGTATGATTGTTTTTATCCGTAAGGCAAAAACTCGGCATCACTCTTACATGTATATATATTACAATCGAATTTGTTCTACGAACTCTGTATAGAATTTAGTGCTGTTATCACTGTTGTTGTTTCATTTTTTGTAACTAAAATTAAATTTTTAAAATTGAAACTTTTTTATTTCCATTTTTTGTTTTGAATTTGAAAATGAAAAGTAAAATTTACTTTGCTGTCTTTCCTGTACATTTCTTATGGATGCCCCGCAAGAGTGCTGAGAATAAAATTTGAATTGAAGTATATTCAAATAAACGATGTATATACATATTTTGGCTTATGGCAACTGCAGCTTTTAAATTTATATATAAATGCCTTCTGCAGCTATGGAATGAAATGAAACTACGACGATATTTAGTGTTGCGCTGATATTGTATATAATAATGTATAATAATTTTCAATTGCACTTTATTTTATAAATTGTGATTTTCCTGTTATTATTATGATTATTTTGATTATTTTATATTACATTTGAAATATTTTTGCATTTACATATTTACGTTTATTGACAGAGAAAAATTGAGATAGATAACGAGAGACATACAATGGCAAAGAGAGAGAGAGAGAGAGAGGAGAAAACATTGAAAAAGAATAAATGCTAACATGTATGTTGTTACATATGAAATTCAAGCTTAAATAGGTTATAATTTGTATTTTAAATATACTATGTCATATAAGAAACGACGAACGTCTACAGAAGTTAATTTATAATTACAAGAATTTTTATAAAAAATATTGCGTCAAAATTTTCGCAGAAAAAAAAACGAAAAATCAAAAAAAAAAAGAAAAACAAACAAAACTAAAGAAAAGAATTTTTGCTAAAAAACTTTTTTAAAAAATTGCACAGAGAGAAAATTATAAATATTTATAAAAATTAAAAAAACAAAGCAAACGATTTTACCAACAATTCTTTCTCTAGACGAGAGGGGAGGCACTCACTCTCGCATAACATTTTAACGACGAAATATTTTTGCTAATGTGGTATATAATAAATGGTCCATATTTTTATATTTTTTTATATATATATATAATTACTTCATATAGTATTTTAAACTCTTAATGATTATACATAACAAAATTTAATATAAATTCTTCTCTTTTTTTAAACAAATGACTATTTTATGCATAAAAATATTTAATATTATTCCTCTTTTGGCGTATCTGTGTATTTGAATATGTGTGTAGAGTGTTGCTTTTTTTTTCTTTTTTTTTTAATAATGTATAGATAAAAAATTGAACAGATACGAAACACAAATTTTAAAATCTTTTTTCTTTTTTTTTCTTTTTCTTACATAATGTATATATGAACATCAATATTGTAATTATAATTATTTATTGTTATTATTGTTATTATTATTATTATTATTATTATTGTTATTATGTTTCTCTTATTTTCTCTGTTGTTAAAAATTGGACTATTAAAGAAAAAAAGTTTATTATAAAAAATACAGAATATATGATAAATTCTTTTTCTTTTAAATTTTAAAGAAACAAATAATCGTTTATTTATATTATGTACAAAATAAAAGAAAGAAATTATATTTAAAAGGATTCACATGAAAATTAAAAGACGATATCGTCTTTAAGAGAGAGAGAGAGATACATAAAAATCTTAATAATAGTAAACCATGTTCATAAGAATGTTTAATAAGTAAGAAATCTGTTATCACCTTAAGGCGGATGAATCATCCAATAACCATCACCTTAAACGATTCTTTACAAATTATGAATGAAAGTGAAATTCCAGCGAGTGTTCACAGCTCATATGTTGTTGTTGGAAATACATTCAAATAAGTTTTAAGACAATTATTATGTTATTGAGATTTAAAACAACAATAGAAACGACAAAAATTTTACAAAAGAACAAAAAAAGTCGGGAACAGCAAACATATTACCATATAGGCGATGTTTGGCTCAAGCAAACGTTCGTTTTTATATAACAATTGTACAAAAAAAAATCAATGTTTTCTACTCAATAGTAACCGTGGGCCTTGTGGGGCCACAACGCGGAATGACAAATTGAAATAATGCCTCTGAGGCACAAGGTGATGGTCATCTAGAATTTCGGTATTTATTTTGTTTTTTTTTTTTGTTTTTCGGTTTTTAAATTTATTTAGCTAAAGAAGAAGAATAAGAAGAAAACATGCTAACAACATGCTCTCATATATTATATATGCATATTTTAAAACTAAGATTATTGAGTTTTGGCGGGCGAGTCATAACAATAAAGATTCATAAAACTTTGGAATGTATGTATATATCTACATGTTTTTCATGCGTGTACGTGTTTCATTTAGGATTATAAAGCCTCATTAGCCCACTCGTGTCCTTACGTAACGTATTACTCTTAACAATGCCTAAAGCTTTAAAACTTTCAATTATTTGCTATATGGTTTGCATTTTTTTTTTTTAAATTTCAGAAAAAAAAAATGATAAGATCGCGTAAGCAGAGAAACCGCCCTTTCTATATAAATTTCTCCTTTGACGGTGTAGTCTGAAAGATTTGATTTGATTTTTTTTTTTTTTTTTTGAATTCTTGTTAAGCGTGCGGGGTGAGACTGATGCTTATGCATAGAAATGGGCAAAGATGCAACTAAGGTTAAAACAGAATTCATATGGTCATGGTCCTTCACTTTGAAGGAAGACTGCTAGAGAAGCTCTACTGATTATTTTTTTTTGTTTCTTTTGTTTGTTGTTGTTGTTAAATTTAATTTTAAAAAATAGAAAATTCTACTTAAACAATAACTAAGAATAATAATAATGCAATAATTGGCTCGGAGATGTTTTCTCTTTGTAGTGATACATACATAAATATTAATATATATATATATATATACATATATATATATATACATATATATATATATACATATATATATATATACATATATTATTGAATATATATATGTATTTATAGCATGTTAGCGCGTCGGGAAGGTTTACAATTTATTATTTGCGCTTGACTGCCTTTTTAAAATGGAACATGTACCTTGACAATTGACAATTCATATTAGACAGACGCACGGCATAATTTGCTCCAATCATCAACTATAATCCCTATTGCGAAATATATACGATAAAATGAAAATGATATATGCACTTGGAAATATGTATATGTCATTAACTGAAAGACTTTTTAAATTAATTGTCCGATATGTTGGATGATAAAAAATGAAAAAAAAAAAAAAAACGAAACTATTTTAAGAAACATTGAGCAAAAACCTTTGAACTTTGCCTAATTATGTCCATGAATTTGTGAATAACTTGAACGATTCAAACAATGACAATAAAAGACTTTTACACATTTTCATCTTAAAGGAATAGTTTAGTTAGTTCTACTTAAACGATAATGTTTAGTGTATAAAAGTTAGTTCAAAGTTTCAAATGTTGACATCGTTTCGCTTATAGCAGTAAAAAAGGGATGCAATAATAAAAGTTTAACCGTTAGTTTACTTTACTTGATTTCTCCTTTAACTTTTCAAATGAAAATATTGCAATCTCTATTCTAATATTATTCTTATTTGCTTAGAGCAAGCAGCATTTTATTGAACTCTGCCATCCATCATTTTATGTAAATATCTCTTTATCATTATATTAAATCGCTTTTTTGTCACATTTTCCCCGTAAAGTTACAAAATAAAAAAATTTATATAGTGAACCTTTCCGCCGAACGAACTGCATTTAATTTGTCTACACGTATATATAGAGATAAAGAAGTACTTAAATTGAGACCACTTAGAAGAAGACGAAAAAAGAGGGAAATTTCGACGCATAATGAAAAATGAAACCGCGTGAAACAAAGAAGAAGAAGAAGAAGAAGAAGAAAAAAAAGAAAAGAAAAAAAAAAACAAACATTATTAAAACATAACGTTACTTGTTAGTTGGTCAAGTCCTAATGGAGGAGCTGTCAGTGCTTATTTAGTCTCTTTTAATAGCCAGTCACGACTGAATTGATCGCACCAGCTATGTTAATCATGATCTTGTATAAACGCTTAAATTCTAAGCTTATAGATATTAAACAAATTGGCATTTGGCGAGGCAGTCATATGTACAAATGTACAAAACGTCTTTTTTCCTATTCTCTGTATTTGTTTTAATAATAAATGAGAAAAAAAAAAAAAAAAAAAAAATTGTTCGCACTGAAACGAACACTTGAATACTAACCACCACAATAAACGCGCTGAGCTTCTTAACAGTCCTAATAAATATTCGAGGCCAAAAAATTTCATATCGATATTTACTACAGAGTTGCAAATAATAAAAGAGAGATCAGTCAGCTTTTATACGCATGGTTGTGGAGTCTTGTGGCAAATTTGTTTGTAATATCTTATTTTTTTTTTTTGCTTTTGTTATAAAAATTTATAAATAGATGGATGGATGGATGGATGAACGAACGAACGGACGGACGGACAGAGAGACGGACGGGTAAGCGTAATAACTAGACCTAGATATAGACATTTTTTCACTGAACTTTTTATTTTTACAAGCGGAATGACGACATAATTACGAGACTTGTTTCATCCATCCTGCGGTGGCCGGTATAACATCATATAGTTATTGATTTTTCGTTTGCCTACATTAACGGGAAATTTTTAAATGTGTTTAATCTTCTGTTCTTTCCTCTCTGACGTTATTATGCTTCCGTTTCTAAAAGTACGGGTAATAAAATTTTCCAAAAATATGCAAATTTTCCTTTTTTTTTGTTTTTTTTGTTTTTTTTTGTTTTCATAAAATCAACAATTTACACAGGAAGGGCTCTTTGCAGGAATGTTTTTCACTTTATATCGCAACAATTTTTTTCTTTCCCTTTTTTTCATTTTTTTTTTTTGGATTTTTTTTCTCATTTTTTTACGTTCAATTTTTCTTTGCTTATTTTTTTTTTGTTTTTTTCTTTGTTTCTTTTTTTTTTTTTTTGCAAATTATTCAAAACAAAAGTCAATTTTTTGAATTGATTTTAAAAGAAAGATTTAAGATTTTTTAAGGTTCTGCTTGCTTACTAGGGCCTGTAATTTGTGCAATTGACTAAGTAGGCTGGCATTAGAATCTTCCAAGGTTTGGACTCGTTTCTTGTAATCGTTGTTCTCGTTAACTAATATTTCTACTTTGCGCTCCAATTGATCCATGTATTCTTTTTTCTTACGCCTACTCTCTTGGGCGGATATCTGTCCATGTTTAAATAAATTTTAAATTTAATTAATTGTTTTTCACTTTTATCTATCTATCCAGTTAACTACGTTTTACCTTATTTTTGATTTTTCTACGTATTTTCTTCAAGGACTTTTCTTCGGCTTTGGTTAAAGGTAATTTTTGCGGTATGGGATAACCTTCGGCCAATAGAGTACGTTTTTCCTCTTCTGTTAAAATTAAGGTGCCAGTAGAACCCTTCTATAGATAAACGAAATGATAATTGTTTAGCTATATGTATATATATATATATATATATATTCACACTATGTGATTAAAAGTTGATAATGAGTTTTAGTTACCGGCTGTGAACTGATTAGTGGCGTATGTATTGGCTGGCGCGTTGTACCACCGCTATTATGACGTCCCATATTGGTTAGGCTGTTGCTGGAATTGGAGGTAGTTGAGGATGCACTACTATTGGTGCCACGCCTTATTGCAGTTACTGTTAAAACACCGTTACTGATCGTTTGTGTTACTGCCGGTGTTGTTCTATTCATTGTAGCGGTGGCACTAGTATTGGTCGCGGTGGGTGATTGCGGCGATAGCATGTGTTCTGGTGTAAGATTACCCTCAGAACCGTCGCTAGAGAGCGAAGAAGGCGGCGTCAGTGGTAAACCATAAGTGTTATTGGCTTTAGTCGAACTATTAGGCGAGGTAGTAGTAGTAACAAATGTTCCGGTATTTGTTACTGTACTTTCAGCTTTTATGGTAAATTTAGGTAGAATGACATTTTGTGCGTTTGAACTGCTTATGATGATCTGCTGGGACTTGAGCAGGCTTTGTGAAGACGGCGTCAGCTGTAGACAACCATTCTGTTAAAAACATAAATGCTATTAATGATGCCGTGGAAATGAAGTTTTATGTAAAGGAGCTTACCTTATGTTCAAATACTAAATCGGAATTGGTGAAAGCTGCCATGTTAGCCATTGTTAAGCTTAAAGTGCCATTTGTGTTGTTTTTGATTTGTCCATCAGTGATCTCGGGTGTGGGGGAACAACTTGAAGCAGGCGACAGAGGTTCATTTTTGATGCAGGATTCATCGATTTCTATATCTGAGCAGATATCTGGTGATTGGCTGCCTTCCCTTGAAGAAATACTCGAACCACAGTCATTGTCCATCATGGAGGAGTGCTCATCTTGAGGTAGATATTGATGTTGCTGCAATTGTTGGTGCTGCTGCTGCTGTTGCTGCTGCTGTTGTAATTGTAGGGCAGGCTGTTTATTGATTGATAATTTGGCATCCGCAGAATTCTGAGCATTGTCTAAGCAACCACGTAGACCAAGCGCAATAGGAGTTGAAGTTATTTTGCATAGACCAGCATACAAACTGTTCGATGCCTGACAGCCGCCTGCAGATGACATTGAATTTGCGGTACTGGTTAATGTCGAAGTTGCACTACAAGCCGTTGAGCTCATCATGCTTTGCAGATTGAATCCGGTCAATGTATTATTAGTCGGTAAAGAATTACTTGTTAGTGATGAGCTGGTTGAGATGTTTAAATATTTGGGATCGATGGTAGCTCCAGTGAGGCCTCTTATATTACTAGTAACTGTTTTTAAGGAAATGGCTGGATAGCATTCATCCTCCATATCTAAATATACACATATTTACATATATATATATAATTAAAATAATTAATGATTAAGTATAATTTGAATTTGATAAAATTTTAATAAATATATATATTTATAGTGCCTTAGAAACTGCGCTCCTTTGGTGTGTTGGCAGGTTGCTAAACTAAGCTAAAATTAAAATCCTACTCTCTCCTTATCAAGACCGGTATTATAGATTGCATTTTCAAGCGGGCTGACATCATCTTTTGCTAACAAACTTGTTACACTATTGACCTTTTCACCTATACTTGCTATATAGCGTAACGTAAACTAACTGGATGATTATCTGTTCTGCTTTCAAACCTGAATTGTTCCCTTCTAGACGTAACTTTGAACAGTGGACACAAGCAAATATTCGCCATCTTGATCACTTGATCTATGACTCTATTGCTTATAGGTAATATGAGGAGCATTTAAAAGTCGTTCTTCTTTCAGCTTATGAAAGTCCAGATACATTGCACTCTCAATTCTTCGATGGACCTAACTGACGACTGCAATATTTTTTTTTCGTTCATTGTTCTATCATCGTACTGTACATCTATTGTGTTTTACATATGAACTCGGAATACAAAACACTTTTAAATGCATTATTAACACTTGTGTTAATATTGATAAAATATTTTATGTTTATTCAATTGTTTTTTGATTGTCACCTAAGTTTTTATTTTAGCTCATCGCAAAGGAACTCACAAAAGACAAGCTTTTTAATATCAATAACTTAAGTAATGAAATAATTTACCTAACAAATAAATCGGCGCATTGTTCGAAAATAAACAAAAACAAAAAAAAAAAAAAGTAGATAAAAGGAAAAAAAGATGTGCGTACATACGCGCCAGCTTTGCCGACTGCGGTAATTGTAAATAGAAATTTTCAGTTAATTTTCATAAATAGACCTACCATCCATTTTGGTATGGAGACTTCCGGGTGAATCGGGTAATGAGTCTCCATCGCTATTTAAACTGTACGAATGTTCCGATTTGATTGGTAGAGTTCCGTTGAGCAATGCATCTGATATTAATTTATCGTTGAGTATGACAGTAGCATCTTTTACGTCTCTTTCAAGGAACCAATCATTCATATCGCTGTCTGTCGACAATTTCAACGTATCAGTCTGCAACGAGACACAATTTGATTTCTCTAATAAATATTTATCATGTTTTTTTTTTTTTTGTATTTTTCTTAAGAATTATCACTGAATCAACGGAAAAACGCAATAATTTTCATGTATAGCGTATTATCCAATAACTCATTTCACAATGTTAGGAGAAAACAAATATCTATATATATATATATATATATATATATATATATATATATATATATATGTATATAAATTATATGAAATTTATACTTTTGATATTTTTTAGTTGAGCGTATATTAGACTAGGCCACACCCTATATTTGCTTAATGCTTCATTTAGTTAATTTAGCGGAACAGTGCGATTCAAGTTGAGACCCTAAAGCGTCCGGGTAGTTGTTGTTAAAATATCTAAAGATGAAAAGTAGACATTCTTGGAAAAGTTGCTGAACCGATCAAAACATCGAGTTTAAGCATAATTCCATAACCTAAATAGTTTAAATTTAATTAATTAATGATAAGTTTACATATAGTCGCTCTTCAGTAGTCAGCCCTTAAAGCTTTCTAATGGTATCTTAACTTGTTATTGATCGATACGAAAATTGGAAAACGTGTTCGCATTAACATATCACATATCACGACTTTTTCTTGATCAGTTTGCGGCTAGTTATTTCTCTCTCTCTCTATCTCTCTGTCTCTTTTAACATCATCACCTTCCTCTCCCATATAAGATGTTCATAAAAATTTTTTCATTTTCACTTATATCACCAGCTTGAGATGTGGAGTTGTTGAAAAAGCACATTTGCTTTTAACAACTAGCAGCAACCTTTACCTAATTTTATAGCTAATCTAATTATGCTCATTATTTTTTAGAATATTCATTTTATAGGCTTGATTTGGAAAAATCCCCGTCAAGAATGAATGTACGCGAGATATGCTTTAAGATTCGTGATACCTAAATATGGGCATAAGCAAGATCTATGCACGTTACTGATGATGATCTCAACAGGGATCTTGATGAAATTCCCTATTCCTCGACAGATTCTTAAAAACAAAACAATTCAACTTGATAGTTGAATTTTGACTCGTCGAAAAGCATGAAAACTCTACACAGGTGGGTCATAATCCATCATTAAATACTCTACGGCATCCTACAGTTAATCATGTAATGAGACGAAAGAGTAGTCTGATCTGTTCGTTCTTCGAGCAAAATATGTCGCTTGATTCAATAATCCGATAAAATTATATCTCAAAAAATGCAGCCTCTCGGTTGAACATAAGAAAGTAAAGCGGACAAATGGACAGACAACCAATACTCTTAATTTGATGCAGAATTTCATATATATATATATTGATTGTGATCATTCAATTGATCGGCTTATCCTATATATTTTTATATTTAAGTTTGAGTTTTAAATGAAAATTTTTGAAAAAGAAATTTTAAAAATAATAAGAGAAAAAAGAAAATAAAAGAAAGCAAATTTTTCTGAAAAGATTTATTTCGAGAAACGAGTTGTTGTAAAAACCCGTACGGATTGTTCTTTTATTTAGTTTATTACGTACGCGCAAACGATGTCTTTTTGAAAATAGGTCAATATCGGGAAAAATCGTTTTAATGTTCATATGAATGCACTTAAAAAATATATGATCATTGTGTGCATCATTTACGTTAGTTTCTAAACAAATAAAATGCATGAGTTACGCTTTGATAGCTTATCAGTTCAATTTTTCAAGATGATGAAGTGAATTTTCGTGTTCGCTCAAATGCAATAACAAAATACCAATAAATTTCATTCTTACATTTACAGTAATAGGTTTTTTTTTTTCTATGAAAAAGAAAAAAAAAAAAAAACAGAAAAGAAATTTAGCACAATTCGCATCATAGGGATTTCCCAAAACCCTGTTAACTATTAGAAAATCGAATAATTGAAAGTTTTTTTAATTTATTTTTATTTTGAAAAATTCCCCGACACCGCCCCTATCTAATGCAATTTTGAATAATTACCGGCGAATGCAGTTTAAACAAAATTCAACGCATTCGGTTAGGTGTCATCAGCGATCTTGTGCACACACGTACCTAAGCACGATCGTTATTATACACGCGACATCCTTGAAATGCAGGCGGACAACGAACGCGGTGGGGTCATAAACAATTTACTTGAAAGCATTGTATATATATATATATATATATGTATTTAAAACGTTGACATAATTACCTGTTACTATATAATGCACTGTTTGCTTGGCTGGCTATTCTCTATATCGGTGTACACACGTTGCTATACATGTACCTATATATATATATATATATATATATACATGTCTTTTAGTAAATAAACTCTATTACTACCTGTTGCTAGTAAATTCCTTCAAAGTTGCTTATGCTAGTTGTAGAAACGTGTTATTACGAGTACAGAAACGAAAAAAGAAAAAAAGTGGAGTAATGGCGTTTATGCTTTGCGGTTTGCACATTGGTTAGCACAAGTACAATATACTAAGAAAATATTTTTCAAAATATAACTGTAAATATAGCTTATTATTAACACACTAACCAAACAAAGTCTTAGCCAAAGTCCGCTCTTAGCCTCGTTCATAAAATATATATATTAAAAAAAATATTTCTTTATATGATTTAATAATCATTGAGCCAGCGCGGTTAAAAGCCAATCAACCACGCAATCAGCCATTTAACCAGCCAGTTAGTCAGTTAGTCAGTTAGATGGCAAACATGTTAGCCAATAATTTGAGAAGTGGTTGATTGATTGATTGATTGATTGATTGATTGACTGACTAATTGAAAGAAAACAACTGATATTTGGCCTTTGGTTATAGGCATTAAGGAGACCTTACGAATAATTTACTATTTATCTGTTAACTCCTTTTTTTTTGTATTACCATTCTACTCCATTCAATTGTTGTCTTTTACTATCGCTACCACCGATGACCGCAAACGCGATTATTTTCTCTACAGCACACATTTCACAATTCTTATGTTGTTTTGACAGCAACAGAGCGTAAATAAAATATACATATTGAAGGTTCAATAACCTCCGTCCGCCTGGAATTGTTGTTAAGAATTAGCAATTCTTGTCAGGCAAAATAAGTATGTTTGTGTATCTACCATATATATATTTATATATATATATATATATACATTTAAGTATTTATAAAACCAGAATAGGGTCGCTTGCAAGCGAAAAGAAGAAAAAAAAAAAAAAGAATTAAATTCTTTTTTAAGTTCAAACTGAGAGCGGGAGAGAAAATATGGCTCGAAAATATTATGCGGCATTAAGTCGGCATTTGTACATAAGTACACATTGAAACATAAAATAAATGCAGACAGACATATTATTAGTATACGATAGTATATAATGAATAGGTTTGAATGCATGTAAGACTTTAAGCGAGCTTGTATGCGAGTAAGTAACTATGCATGTACTTCTCTTACCGCATTTTAAGTCTTGGTAATAAAAATCACTCATACAAACTTATTTTGCTTTGAAACTGATCTGTACATTTTTTTTTTTTTTTTTTTTTTTTTTTTTTTTTACATGCATATAAGCCTGCGTGCGCGCGCAAAGGCCTGTGTCTGTGTGTGTATGTCCGTATAAGAAATGAATTGAAGAAAGTTATTACCTGAAAGCGCTTGAGTAAAGCTAAAGCTCCTGATTGTGAAGCTTTGATTAAAAAAAAAAAAAAAACAATTATATACAATTTCGTCTCAAAAAAAAAAAAAAATAAACCGAAAATATTTTATTTAATGTGAATTAATTACGAGAGAATCGCAAGAGTTTCACATTTATTATTATTTCATATTTACAGTGAGTAGAAGATGCCAGTATTTCTTTACAGAGATGCCGTAAAGCGTACGTTTCTAAGCTGTGAGGCGCGAAGGCGCCATCATTTTTGTGTTTTTTTTTTTTTTTTTTTTGTTTTAAAAACAATAAAGTTAAAATTAAAAAAAAAAAAAAAAAACTACTTGCTTTCCATGCGTGCTACGCTAGTACTACTCCCCCCCCCCCGTTCACCACTGTACACTAATCCCCCTGTTTACCCCTCCTTCAAACAAAAAGAACAAAATCCCATAATGTTTTTGAATTTTATAATGGCTTTGCTAGCATGAAGGCTCTACAAATCTTTTCCCTAGAAATGCAGACTTTGTGGTTGTAAGGACAATCAATGCAAAGGTTGAATAAATGAACTAGAAGATCAATGTCAAAAGTTTTATAAATTCCAGGGAGGATATGATCGCTAAAGGATAAATTTATTTTGATATATTAATTTTGTCAATTAATTCATCATACGTCTACGAAGTTTCTGAACAATTTGGCTTTTAAAGTCCTTCGATGAAATTCGAAATTGAAAATATTTGAACAACAACAATAACAGAGAAATAAATTCGAAGACTATCGATCTTTATTGAAAATGTGTCTATCGCACTTGAGATTTGAATCGACGACCAATGGGTTTTTGATCGAGATCCTTTGTCTACTAGGCCACTCAGGCGAGATTAACGAAATTAATTAATAGGGAACGGAATAAAAAGACGATAAATAACGAAATGGTACAATATGATGATGATTTTAGGCACACACAGACACACACACACACATATATATATATATATATATATATATATATATATATATATATATATAGTTTATTTATTTATTTATTTCTTTTTCCAAGAAATAATAAATGCCATCAATGTTCTTTTATTTTGTATAAAAAACATATATATATATATATATATAACTTATAAGATTAATCGATGAGTTACATATATAGAAAACAGTGTGACTTACATATGTAGAAACACAAGTGATTGAGGAATTACAAGTTAACGGGAATATATAAAATAAAGCGTGATTTGTAGACCAAACGTCATATGTTATATTTCGCCATGCTTTACTTAAGATAATTTAACAGTATTTCAATAGCTCGCGCAGTTCTCTGGCCGAACCTTTCACATTTTTTACAAGTGACTGGTAATGGTGTTTTTTTTTTTTTTTTTTTTTTTTTTTTTTCTCCTT